ATTATTTTTTTTACAAAAATACATAAAGGAATTACCATTTATTTATTAATTCTTGTTTTTATTCAGAATGTTCTGAAGAAATTGTTTACATACAAAGCAAAATGAAACTAACGTAATTTTAATCAAAAATAAATTTAATAATCAGATTATTCTTGTTTTCAATTAAATTATTTCGATAAATATACATATTTATGATAAAATTAAAGAGAAAACACAAACATGTAATTTATAACTATACTGTTCGTGTCAAATGAATATGTGGAGGGAGAATAGTTTTTTTTTTTTTTTTTGTAAGTTGTTTTCAATAATTGAAATAACTGTTTTTGTTAGAAATCCTCTAGTCTCACGATAACAATGAACTAAATCTGTAAAAAATAAAGTTAAATAGATTTGGTTGGTTAAATGACAATAATTAACACACCAATAACTTTTCATGAAATAAAATGAAACTGAAAATGCTCAGTTAGGAACTGAAGATAAGTAGTCCAATTGTTCAAGGAACACACCAGTCCAGCATTTAAATCTAATAATCTAAGAAAGAACGAACAAGTATGACAACATACTTTTGAGAAAGTAATCAAATTTACCTGCTCCATGTAGACATAGAAGATGAACTAATGGTCATCCAAACGTTGCCAATTCGAGTCAACATGGCTAAATACAAAATTAAAACATCCAGATCTACTCTTCTTTTTACTACTAATGTCTTTATAGATGCAATGATACAGATAAACAAACAATGACACATCAGCACTCACTCATATAGATAAGATAAAATTATTTGGATGTATTGATCTCATAACTAGATTGTAATAAGCTCGCTCCAAATCAGTGTAAGTACTAGCCACTAACCTTAATGACAATAATTCAATAAGATGATGTTAAGTAACATATTTTATATATATTATGTGTGTGTGTGCGTGTAAGCTAATTGTTTTATTAGGTACCACTTTTTTAACAATTGATTGCAGTACTTCAGATTTCGAAAATAACATATAAATTTAATATTGGTATAAATTATGAAAAAATATTCGCTCTAATATTTTTTTTAAATAAGCTTTCTATTTAAAAAAAAAATATAATTGTTTAAATTGATTAATTAAATCAAATTCGGATACCCATATACAAGCAGTTTGCATGGACTAAAAGATGCAGGTTTAATTTTTTTTTACTATGAACTATCACAACTATATATACAAGATATTCATTAGAATAAATATGAAAATTAATAGGAAATTCTCATAATCACATCATATATCTTTGCCTATTGTTTCAAATTTATATTTTTCACAACACATAAATACCAATCAATTTATTGTTCAAAATTGACTTACTTATAAGAGGGTGTCATGTAAAATCATATTAAGTAATAGATAATAGAAACATGACTTCCTTAAAAAAAAATATTTGAAGTTATGGCAGCAAGAGTTTGAGATAAATAAACAAGAGTACAGCAGATAAGAGATAAACTTAATACTAATTGACTGACTGCAGTCGTGTTGAAGCAGTATGCATTTTAAGAAGCTCTAATTTTACACGTAGACATCACTACATACAATGACTACAATTGTGGAATTGACTCTGGCATTGAGACTGTGGTAAATATGTACTTTAAATATTTTCCAGCAAAATAGTACTTTGTATATTTTATAAATTACAAGTAGTCAAAATGTTATTGTTTTTAAAATGATATTATTTTAATTGGTGTACCCATCACTCAATATATATTTTCTCATAGAGAACTAACACACAAAACTTAAGGCAAGATAATATGAAGATATACTTATACTTGATATTTTTATTTGGGGATCAATTTGAGTAAATAATTTTTTTTTTTTAAATTACAAAAGTTGTTCCAGACGAAATAGGCTTATGTCAGAAGCCATCAGTTTCAAATTTTGATCCTACTAATATTTCAATAGTTACCTCTATTTACTACTAGAAGCTTTACAGCTCTATAATTAACTTCTCCTAAGATAATTAACAATTTAAATCTCATTCAAACCACTATCTCTTACTATCCCTAAAACTAGGAAGAACTGGTTATAGCCTGGCTGGCATCAAGAACAATTATCTCTATACACAAATATAAATAAATTGATTTAATCATTATAAAAGGTTTCAGGCCTTCTTCAAGGCTGCCTGTTCACAAGATATCATGCTCTTTAAAAGATATTGAACGAGCAGCTCTGATGAAGATCTGAAACTTGGACCGAAACATTGGCACAAAGAAAATAAATATAATTTATTTGTGTGTAATTCTAATTCTAATGACTGTAAGATCTGGATCTTAATCCAACCAACTTCTCCTGTAAGAATCTACAGCCAACTATTTCTCTACCATTATTTAAATTTAAATAATAAATTTGATTTTAAGTATGCCACGATCGTCTCCTTTGTAAAATTAACAGCATACATACTATTTGTAAGATCATATCGTGAGGATAGGTTTTTCATTGTTAACCAGGATGGCAAACACTCCAACTACTGTAAAATCAGTTCAGGGGTGACACAGGGCAGGATTTTAGGTCCAGTCTGTACTTCATTTACACTTACGACATTTCACAGATACCAGACACATTACTTGCTACTTACATAGACGATACTGAAATACTCTTAACAAATTCAAATCTAATCACAGCATCCTAAAACGTACAGAATCATATTATCTATTACAAAATTGTCTTGACAAATGGCGCACAAAAGTTAACATCCTTAAATCAAACAGATTACATTTACACTTAGGCATTCGGGTTACCCACGACTAACACTTTACAACATTCCTTTGTCAAATCAAACAGAAACAAAATATGTGGGACTCATAATGGACAGACGACTTACTTGGAAATCACACGTGACTGTATTAAGAAAAAGAGAGAACCATTGACTGTCACTATTAAGATGAATGCTACATCATAAAAACAAATTATCACTTTCTAACAAAATTACTATATACAACATCCTACTTAAGACCCATATGGATGTAGGCCACTCAGGTGTGGGATTCATGAAAAAAACCACACTTACAGACAACTTAAATCTTCCAATCTAAATTTCTCAAATATATCACTTACTGTTCCTTCAATTTAACTAATATTTCATTACATAAGGACGTATCTATATCACATGTGACTGGAGTAGTTAAGAATCATTATACCAATTTTCAGGACTCACTTGCTAATTATCCAAATCCACTTGCACAGACATTACTAACAGACACATTACCTCAGAATCTGACAAGGAGATTAAAACGCCTCTGGAACAGGGATCTCCTATACATTAGAACTCCATGTTAGAAGTGCCATCACTTGGAGGTTTCTCTAATCAAAAATTTATGTCAATCCCACAGAGGAGGTTCACTAGTGAAGATCGCATTCACAAAATATGCCAAAAGGCATTTTTAAAATGTTATCAATAAATAAATTTACTTGAAGTAAGAAAAAACAACACACTTCATTTCTACAGTCTCATTTATTTTATCTTTTGGAGCTTTCAGTGCTCATATTAATCTTTCTAACTTATTCTATCCATTTTTCGATTTTAAACTTTAAATACATTTTTCAATCATTGCAGATTGTTGTCTTAGTATTAATAATTTTTTTTGTACTTTTCCTTTATAGGAGGAGAGAGGACCCCCAATTGTAGCTTACGTTCTCATTTCGTAGATTACGACCGTAAATGATAAACCGTAAAATTGTTAAAATTAAAACAATGATTGAAAAGATATATTTAGAGAACAAAATTCAAAAATGGATAGAATGAGCATAGAAAGATGAATATGGTGCAGAGCACCGAAAGTTTCAAAAGATAAAATAAATGAGACTGTAGAAAAGAAGGTTTTTTCTTACTTCAAGTATAATTACACAGTCTACCTATTAAACATAAATGAATTTATTAAATTAAATTATATTTATAATAATATAATAAATTGATTATATTAAATTTAAATTTTAACAATGGAGAATTAAGGTTATAGAATTTCAACAGGAAGAAAAAAAGACTACTCTCTTTTAGGTAAAAAGCTAATAATTAAATTAATTACATAATGTAAATATAAAGAAACCGAGATAAGTTGAAATCTGCATATTTCATAATAAAATATTTCTACAATCTAATCCAAGGAAATTTCAACCATATAATAGAAAATTAAAGGCATTAGTATACATTTTGTTAATTATTATTATTTGTTTTTTTAAGTGATCAAAATTAGTTTCGAAATTATTGGATTTACATTATAAATGTTTATCATACGTATTAAGAAATTAATAATTATAAAGGTACCAAAGAATTCACCACAATATAAATTCTTGTTATACTTCAGTATAGATCTTTTTTGTATTTAACTATAAAGGATGACCAGAACGACTAGAAAAAACTATTACACTAAAATTTAAAATACAACTAATAACTAAAAACATTTTACATTGAGTAATATATAATGAATATTGGATAAACAATCAAGAATAATTAAGACAAAAGTGCTATGAATAGAATCAAACTACAATCGATAATTAGAAAGCCAAGGAACTTTAAGTATGTCAAGTATCTAAATTCTAGTAAGGTTTCGAAACAAAGGGAGGTGAAAGCAGAAAGTGATTTAAAGAACATTAATTGTCCCCATTATTCTATAGAAATAATTAATGGCTATGGATCTAAATGAACTTTGAGGAAGGAAATAAATGCAAATTAATAATGAAGTAATTATCAGCTGCAATTCAGGGAAAAGTAACTTTGCTTCAACAAAGTAAAGATAACATTAACAACATTCACTGCATTACAAGAGACTTTTTCTTTTTATTTAATCTAATGAATAAAGCTTTAGATAGTCATTAAGAATCAGAAAGATCTGTTAAAAATATGAAGATTTACATAACTTAAATATTTCATATCACCAAAAATATATTGCTTAAATTATCGATAAAACAGTATGAAATGAAATAATAACAGATTACACATCCATATAATCTTGCCTAATGTATTAAACATAAGAAAAAAAGTACCTGTCAATGAGAGAATGCTTTTCTTTCTTGACGTAATTACTGGGTACGTAGCCTGCGTGATTCCTCGAATTCTGCACCCTCCACCAATGCTTTGAGTCATCAAGAAGCAAATATCGCTCATTCTTTCTCAAGTCGAGCTCCTGTGGCCCTTGAGCAGCGTAATCATACTTGGCCACCACATAATACCCATCCTCTTGGCTTGATTTACCTAAATCATTAAAAAAAAATATCAATAACTAAATTCAAGAATTATTAATTATATTGACTGAATAAATCATTTTCAAAATAAAAAAAATTATAAATGACAGAACAACAACTGATTTCCCATGGGAAGGTCATCAGAAAACATGAAATTCCAACACTTGCAGATGGATTAACAATCATCTTTAAATGTAAATGGGTAAGAGTAACATCCTGATATTATGATCAGACGATAATGCCATTCAAATCAGCTTCCAAAACAAATCACACATAGTGTATAAGGCGCAGGGCTGCAATAGGAGGAAATATCTTGGTCCCAGGTTCAAGCCTGACTATGGCATATAATTAGTTACTTAGTTAGTTATTTCAGTTGGGGATTGACCCTGTAGTAGGGAAACCCTCCTGTATTGCACACTAACACTCTATAAAACAAATACCTATCCTTAATTGCAGGAAAAATCTGGGTGTTGAGTGTTATTCTGGCCAAATCACCTCCTGACACAACTAAGACCCACTTGCCATACTAGTTCTCCTCAACAGAAACTACAATCACACAGTAACCCCGTCATTGAATATTTTCCAATAGTTGAGGATAACAGTCATTAAGAAAAAAATAGGCGAAAGAAAAATTTGATTGATACATATCAATCACTAGCTGTTCAAGATAAAAACAAAGAGTTTCTTCTTCTTTCCTTTCCAAAATTTACTCTAGTTGGAGTCTCAATACATACAAATAAATTCAAATCACGAAACAGTAAAAATGTGGAATTGATAGAAATTATTTTAAACTGAATAATAATTAATGATTATTTTTTTAGACACCTTCTCTTATTACAAAAATATAATATTGGGCGGAAGAAGGTGTTTCAACTAAACAGAATCAGACAGAGCAAAGCATGAAAAATTAGTTTTGTGGTGCAGCTCTCATCAGACAACCTTTGTCTGGTGTCTCAAACGTGTGAAATGATCAGTGTTGTAAAATTTATATTATACAAGAACTGGATTTAATCAACACTGTAACTCACATCACTTCAAGCCAGACTGGAGGAAAGCAAAATAAACTTCCACACTAAACCAGGTTCACTTTCGAGGTTACTTCACAAGTTACGAGGTTCAATTCTGGATAGAACGTAAACACGTTTAATTTAATTACTTTTACTTTTGTTTTATTGTTAATATATATAAAAAAAATAATATATTATTGTCATTGGTGTAACTTCCAGATGATAAGCGGCAGCAGTTGGTCACCATGTAATTGTCAAACCACTATTTTCCAATCTAGAATTTTTAGTCTTAATAATTTATGAAAAATTGAGAAATACACTTCTACTTACAAAATACTATTTCTTATTACTAGAATCGTTTAGTCTCAAGTTTAATTCATAAAAAGATAGTTGACATTCAGTCGTAGTTAAAAAAGTTTTCCTTCGACCTCTTATCTTATTCTCTTCAAAAGCATAGGATGGGCCCAATGAAGTTTTCTCGCTCTTTTTCTTTTTATTGTCCGAGGATCATCATGGCTACAATACCAAATCTTTTTCATATACCAAATAATAATTATCTGAATGAAAACCTGGTATAAACCATGGCAGATAAGTATGAAACAAGCTTAAAACTTATATATAATAAAGATTTAAATTTTGTGGTCATATTCAACATTATCTTCATTCTAACTACATAAACCTAAAAATGAGGCTATAGAAATGGCTGATGCACAATCTTAGAGTCTGATATATATCTGAAACTCGATCCATAGAGCTTATGATAATTAACCTTAGACTAATATCTGAAAAAAAAAATGTTTAGCAATTTTTGTAGATTTACTAAATACCTATGATTGTATAATCTAGCAAAAAATGTTATGGTCATGGTCGCACCAGCATTCAGCAAGTAGGGCAAAGACTGAGCTCACCAAAATGTTAAACAAAATGAACATCACTTCAGTGCCAAAAACCTTGTTAAATTATTCATTGCATAATATAACAGTAATGATCAGATTTCAATTGCATTATACTGCTGTCATAAATAATTATCCCTAATACTCAAGAGTAACTGGCATATTGAACAACATTTTGTTTCTATGCTTTTCCTAGTTTAATAAGCGATTGTACCAATGACCATAAATCACAGATAAGAATTTTGTAACCTGTAATTTAAAATGTGGTGCTACCAAATCCAAGTACTTATGTCTTACAATCCATTAAAAATTACAAAAATCAATCAAATTAAATTTATTATACTTTCCATGATTCTCTTCAGCTAAGAGATTTGGGTAGACACAAAACTAATTATCTTAACGAGTCAGTCATTATTTCTATTTAATTTTTAATTAACAATTAAATACAGGATTCACTTATAAAAATATACATAGTAAAACATCAAATTTATATAATTGCAACTATTAAGCTGAAGAATTCTAATGTCATAGAGTTATTTTACCTACATTATTACGTATAATCAGATTAATTTTTTAAGGGAAAGATTCTTTAGTCAAACCGAAAACAACTATTTCTTAACCATTAATAATAAATCAGTAGGCAATACTTGCTTATTTTGATACAGGAAACCTCCAAACCTATATTTCTTTAGAAAACTCTAATTCAAAATTTTTCATGATTAAAAACTTCCCCTTATTATATATTTCAAACATAGGTAAGTGAAAGTAAAAAATAAATAAATAAGAACGCATCTGTTTTAGTTAAGTGTTTTAATGGACTTCTTTATGTTAGGCAATTTAATACAAAATGATGTAAAATCTAAGATTTTCTTTCATATTAAAAGTTTCTTGATTTGTACATAAAAATTAAAATAACTGTTTGGTAGTGTAATATTAATGTATCTAAAAGAATCTTTATAAAGCGTTAATTAAAAAAGTCTAGAACACTGTTACACTTGTTACTTTATTATTTCATATCAATCTATAATGGTTGATAAAGTATTTTATAACTCCATAATGAGGAGATACTTTATTTTAAAACAGTAATAAATTTATTGTTTTGTCACATGTTGTTTATCCCAGACCATTGCCTCCTAAATCAAATCCAACATAAATAATGATAATAAAACTTTTATTAATTAAATTAAAATAAATACATAACACAATTCTATTTTGCAGACAACTTATATTAAGAAAATAAAATTATTTATAATAAATGAAGTAAATTAGTATATAATGGAACAAAAGAGAAACATTGGATATAACTACTTTTTGAAAAAAAAAAAAAAAAAGTAAATACAGCAATATTAATAATGATAATGTACTAACTAGATGCTATTTTAATAGCTCAAAAACTATTATTAACTAAACATCAATTCAACAATTAATAACCTTAACTGGATATGATAATAAAATTAAAGTAATAACAGAAAACAACCACAAAAAAGCTTTTAATAAAAAAATAAATAAAACAATGGGTGGGTACTATGTTCATGCACAGAAAGCCATTCCATAGAACTTTTTAAAGACAATCATCATCAGCATACAGTATGAGCTTACCTTGTTAAAATTAAGGTTCCATCATTAAGACAATATATGTCTACGAACAGTCTTAAATACATTTAAATATAAATATATTTCAAATAAAATGAATTGTTTAAAAGAAAAATAACTTGGGGAAATTATTATCATAGAAATAAAAATGACAATTTACAAAGAAAAATATTTTATTTGGTTAACTAAGTTTGTTAACCAAAATTTTATCGATTCTTTTCTAGTCCCATCCGCAACATAAAGAAACCCATTTTATAGAACCATAGAAATATATGAAACATAAAATAATGAAAAAATAACTACATATTATATCAATCGTAACCAAAAACTACAAAATACAGAATTAACTGATGACAATAAAGAAATTTTTTTTAAATAAATATAAGTTAAAATAAATTTAAAGTTTAAATAAAAAATTATACCAGTGACAGAAGTGCGTCGAAGGCATGTTATTTACAGATACATGATCAAAAGGGTGTCTCTTATGTAGTCAATGAACTAAAAAAAACAGACTAATATATTCTGAAAAAACAATTTTTCCTTATACCTCAATTAAGAAAAAAATTAAGTTCAAGATTCAGGTAATATTATCAGATGTAAAATTATTTTTTTATTTAAATTGTTTCTTATCCCCACAGGATGTGGTGTTGAGAACAGGGGGTAGGAGGAGGATTAAATATTAAAATTGCATAATTCAATAAACAGTTTATAAAGTAAACAATGCAAAACAAAATATCAGGAAAGTATTAATCTATTTCTTTGTTCAATTTAGAGTATTTTATTTTTATTTTTATAAAACGATTGATTAACCCTACAAAGCAGCCTGCAAATTTAAGGGTATCTAACTTCCTATCAAAACTCAACTTCGATCTTGCCATTGTCAAAACTGAGCCATTCACTCCTAATACAAAAGATAAAGGTACAATGGAACTAGATGAATAAATAAGTAAATTAACAAGTTTATTTATTAATACAAATGCAAATAAATACATTTACATTAAAAAAAAATCCTAAAATCAGACTGTCAACATGGATATGTCAGCTGGATTTCCTGATATTTCCTTGCCTTAAATAAAATTTCAGGTCCCCTTTTATAAATAAAAAAGTGAAGAAAAAAAAAATGTTATGTAATAAAAATCTTATAACAATATTTTGAGCTGAAAATTGGTATTTATACACTTTATTATTAGTTAAAAGACAGCCTTACAGGGAATTGACAGAATATCCCAAAATCCAAAGTCAAGAATGAAAAAGACTAAACTTATTTGAAGATGCACCAAATCGATCGTAAGGATGGATTGTAAAGAAAAAAGAAAAAAAAAATGTTTGGGTACCTACTTTTGTAAAGTACTTTTTAAATAACTATTCATATATATTTTTCATTCTTTCACAAATAATTTTAGAAAACACCCTGATGAATTGACGAAAATTCAAAACTATCGACTGAATTTTCCAAAATAATGATATGCTCTGAATTTTGCAAGTCTATTTAATAGAAAAAGAATAGAAGTTATTCATAAACAAAAACTTAAAACTAAAGAGTCTGTTGTCAATCAAATGTTTTTTTTATTATAATTATATTAACCAACTTGTTTGAAATATTATTAATTCAAAGATATTCATTTTATATATATATATTGACAATAAAATATGTACCAGTTAATATACCACAAAAATTGATGTTAATAAGAACAGAGAGGTACACTAAGTTAAATGAACTGCAAATAAAAATACAACTGAAAAAGTTAATTTAATGGTATGCAGCTTTGAAATCCTGTTAGTAGCACAGAACATTCAAGTAGAATAGAAATACCCTCTGTCTATAAATGAAAGACTAAGCTTGATTTCTGTAACAATTTAGTTGTTAAATTCTACAATAGATGATTTAGGAAACATTTGCAGAAAATAGGTATGAGTGGACTGTATCGAAAAAGATAATTTGGCTTGAAATCAACTTCCAATAAGTACTTTAAAAAATATTTTGTCTACATTTACTCAACAAGTGTTACCATAAAGAATATGATATTGTATAAATATTTTTTCAGAAGAAAATGATTTATTTTTCATGGAAAATGGTTATTACGTGATCCCGCATCTCTTGATCAACAAATTTATACTTAGAAGCGAAAATTTCTACTTATGTTTAACATTTAGATACCAAGTAACAATTGCGGTGCCCTATCACTTCTCTATCTGTTAATCTGATCTTGGGGGCAATGTTCAAAAATTAGTGGATTGATTCATAGATGGTCCCATATCAATTTCATTGTATTCTGTTGATTACACAGACATAAATGTATTTCTTGGGACAGATATCATATTCTATTGATTTATTTTGATTACACAGACATAAATGTATTTCTTTGACAGATCTATCTTATAAGGGGAGGGATGGCCAAGCGGGCTAACAACCCGAAGACCAAAGTTATGAATGATAAAATAGTTACAAGTTTGCATCCCACTGCTGAGGGAGGCTTTTAACTCTGCCATTAATCCCCGCCCTCAGACCTGTCCCGGGGAAAGAAACCCAGTATAGCCTTAAAGGCGAGGAAGGGGAGAACAAAAAAAAAATCAATCATATGAAAATAGTAAATTTGATTTGGCTCAAAATTGGAACAAAGTTAGAGAGCAGTAAAAAATTATGCTTTTATGCAATTTCATCCACTACTTGTTCTTCTTAAGTACTGAAGTTTTTTCCTTGATACACTAATATCTCCGAAATCACACATTCTATTTAGCCTAAAGTTGAAGGGAAGTTAGAACTGGTGAAAAAATGGTTTCACTAAATGAATAGTTTACAAATAACCTATTATTAATTTTATCTAATTCCATTTAATAATTAAATTTAATGTACCTAATTGTTAAGAATATAAATGCATGAATATATGGTGACATAGAGGTGATATTTATTTTATAGTTATAAGTGGTGATAAAATTTTAAAATGTATTAAAAAAAAAAATTAATCAGTATTCTGAGGTCATGCAAAAGGCATAAAACATACTACTGCTAACTCAATCTGATGAAAATTTTAGAGATTATGAACGTTGATATCTAGAATGCCCAATAACGATTTGACAATATTTCATACTTCACTAGGGCATAATTTTTTCCTTAACAATTGTAAACTTCAAAAATGGCTCCTCTTTTAGATTTTATTCTCATATGGCAAAGGTATTACTGAAATGCAGGTGATTAAATAACTTATAGAAATGTTGAGGAAGTTATAACTGACACTCCTAAACAATTTATTTAAAAAACAAAATTATGAACTGTACACAAAGTGAAAAAACTCTTGACAATGCAAAGTTTACTTGTTTTTTTTTTTTTTGTATAAAGATATTAGATTTTTAAGTGTGTTAAACTAGTAAAAAATCCCTTAAATTTAAACTCAGTGTTACCACGATGTTAAACTTGAGTCATTTTGGATTAACCAAAGCATTGCTCAGGACAGGCTGTGTTTTTTATTTTCCTTAAAAGAATAAAACAAAGATAACCAATGCTTCTACTTGTAAGTGCAATGACCTTAACTATCTTAAATTCAATATTTTTTAATGACCTTAACTCTCTTTAATTCAATATTTTTTTGAGTGAATAAAATCATAGTCCCCCATGCGCTTTATACTGAACTGAAATAATTTTCAGAAGAGTTAAACATGCGCTACCACTCATTATATCACGAGCCTCACTAACAATATCAATACACTGAAGCCTACATAGAAAAGATGTAATAACACTTTGTAACCCAACAAATGTACAGGAGGCACAATCACTTACAATATTGAAAAATGATCTTTTATGCTAAAAACTTGAGCAAGTAAAAATCTGAGCTTTTTTCAACAGGAGGTACAGTTAATTATTAACTTCAAGTGATTAACCCAGAACGTATTATATAACAGAAGAAGACATAATACTTGTGACAATTCTTAAGATGTAATTATTGTTAATTTACAGTCTGATAATCTCGGAACAAGCAACTACTATCCTCCAATACTTATTTAATTTCCTAAACTCAAATAAATTTTGTAAACAAATTATTTAATCTATAGGACTTACAAATTATCATTTACAATTAAATCCATAAGTATAGAATATAACATAGAAGAAAAATCTAAAACTTTTTTTTTTTAAATAGATATAGATATAGGTATAGGTTACTAAGCGACTGAAAAGCAAAAGTAATAGAAATTAATATTACACTATGATTAACATCAAATTAGGTACTAAGAAGAGTTTTTTATTATTATTAAATAATAATGCTATTTAAACATTCAAATTCTGACTAATAGGGAATTGTAAACAGAAAATAAATGGGAAAAGATGTCAAGGTGATTTAGTCCAGTCACATAATAGAATACAAACAAATACTCAAATCTTTCATATAAGCTAATAAGCCAAACTCATACTTAGCATTTTTACATTTGCAAGGAAAATAAAAACTCTATGATTTTATATAGATATTATTAACTTCTAAATACTTAAATTATGACAAGAACATTACCATATCTTCACAACTTAAGTGATCAAAACCTAACCAAAGTATTTAAAAATTAAATAGACTAATTACTTTTTAAAACCAGACATATTAACAAGTTTATTTATTAATACTAATGTGAAAAACCACACCAAGTAAAAATTCATACAAACGTATAAAGCAAAGAATTACTAGAGTAAAACATAGTAAGGTTTTTCAGTAGGAGAAACGAGAAATAAGGAAACATTTTTAAAAATAAAAGTTCTATTTAACTTCTATCATTTATTTAAATCAAAAACCCTTAGGGAAATCAAATATCATTGGTGAAAGTTGAAAAAATAAAATACCTGAATATTAAACAACAGTAACTTTAAAATAAAAATATTAAAAGAATGAAGTAAGTAATATTTAATAGTCTGTAACTATATAAAAGTAATCTACTTTTTCGAAGCCTTCATTGGGTGACTTGTTTACTATCCAATATTACAATGTCACAAAAAAAAATTCACAGGGCATTTTCATCAATAACAAGGTTTGTAGAGATTTCGATAAACATTTACTAAGGTCACAAATATTTCAAAATAGTATCCTGAATTTTGAAGAAGGCGTAAACATGTTAAAACTGATTTTAAGAAAACTTTAGGCTGTTTATAACATAGAATAACATACTATTACACCCACCTAAAATAATTGAGTTAAGAGAAGTCAACAAAGATCACCTCTGCTAACTAAGACCAGCTTAATACAAATATAATCTAGTAATGTTAAATCATTATTACATACCGTGAGGTCTCATCGCTGCCATATGGTGGGGTGGCGGTCGTATCACATTTAATTTCCCTTGCCAAGTATCTCTGCAGGCAATGGCTGAGCGAGATTCCAACATTTCTTACTCTCCGATAGCCTTCAACTTGTTCCAGCCTCAATTTGTATACGAAACACAAGCAACACTATAACACAGTTTGTAGCTCCAAATATCTAATTCTATGAGAGTATAATAAAGTAAAGTTCACCTAAACTGTATCCTTTACTTTCTCTCCTTTCCATTTACAAACTTAATATTTGTGTGGAATTCAAATTAATTTTAATCAATGCCATTCAAAAATAAACATTCAACACTTTAGATTTTAAAGAAAAGTCATGCAAATGAAAGCATAATCTAAGACTAGACATTTTACTAAAGGGTGTATTCCATAACAATTTATTGATAAACATTTAGTGCATGAGAATCAGTATAAGTTTGAAAATATAATAAAAAGGCTTATTTTCACGATGTAAATGGATGCACTATCAAACGGTTAATAAAAAAAGTTTATAATTTCTAATCTACTGGAAGGGTTGTATGTAAGGAAAGAGAGTGTAGGTCGGTTTCAGTTGGATCCAAAAAAGGGCAGAGAATGGTTTGAGTCAAAGTGTTATAATTGAAATAACGGAATCAAAACTAAAGAAACACTGTCGAAATAAGAAGCTTACCTAGCTTTAAGCTGGACATATTCGTGGGAAAGGCATAGATAGATAATATCCGACTATTGAAAAAATCACTATAGGATACACACCCCGAACCCGGCCTCCATTATTGCTAGACTGTTTCCAAAACTCGCCGCAGTCGGCCTCCACAAGTCGATATTTCCTCAAATGGTTTTCGTACTCTCACCTCCCTCTATAGTTACAACTTGTTTGTTTGTAACTAACTTATTAAGCTTCTTCGTTCAATATTTAGTTTCAGTTTTTATATTGAAATTATGTTGACTTTGAGAGAAAATCTGCTTTCTAGGCCATGGCAAGAAAGGCGATACATCAACCATCGACATAAGGTGTTAACATAAAATTATCTATATTTTATATAGTCATATTACTACGGTAATCATCTTTTTTTTTTTAATTCTTTAATATAATACGTTTTATAATTATTCCTTAAAATGTTTTAAAAACTATAGTAATTCCAAGATGTAACTGTTCAGACTAATATAGACTAAATTACTGACACTCATTCGGAAGAAAACTATAAACTTAATGTTATTCATATCAGGGTTGTGCACTAGCTGACCCAGGATTTAATTTTGGGCCTTCAGCCCGAAACATTTTTTTTCATATACTTATAACGATAATTAATTATAAAAAAAAAGGAAAGAAATTAACTAACTATATGAAAAGGTGCTTAAGTGGTTCTTGAAGTCCTGTTAAATGAAATTACACGAACAAGAATACTTTAAGAGATAATTTTTAATATTTTTTTCTGCAAAACATAGTTATATTTTACCATTTTAGGGGGGGGGGAGTGCTTCAGCCCGAAAGTTGAGTTTCATTTTGTTAGCCCCTTAAAGGTGCTTAAGACATTTCACTATGGGAAACAATTATCTAACTTAACTAGTTTATTTATATAACTACTTTATCTTACAAACTATTTATTATATTCCTCATGATACCGACATCAGATGGAAAATATCAAAAACAAACAGACTAGTATATTAAAATAACCATTTATATATTTGTTTGTCACATGGTTTGTGAAATGTCTAAACGCACTTTATGAAAGTTTGATTCAATATTCCAAAATGACTCCCCCTATCCCAAATAAGATAACTCGAATCGTTTGATGGCACTTTTTCCTTACTCCATTAAGAAAAACTAAGTTTGTCTAAAAATTAAGAGTATAGATACATCGGATATCATTTCGAGGAATCTATGAATAAAGAAACTGGAGCAATCATTATGAGGTGAATTTGATCAATAATCGTCAATTTGTGGATGCAAAGTACTCAATCAATTTCGTTTCCACAAAGGAGGCAAAGCAGGCAGCAACCTGTCTATTGCGTGTTCTTGTCAATTGTAGTCATATGGTAATCCATTAGTCCTTTTATTTATATAACAATAGGAGTATTTTGGAACAGTAACTTTTAAGTGCTACTACAATCATAAATGTCTTTGGTACAGGTACAATATCAACCTAAACTAATTTAGCACCACCCAAAGAATTTGCTTAAAATTCGAATATAATAAAATAAAATTTTAAATCCTCAATAGAAAAAAAAAATAGTTGAAAAAGAATCATCTAATTTATATACTGAGAAAATAATCAATTAAATAAACTAAATATCTTCTAAATAAAATGGAAAAAACTGTTTCGAAACATGTTGCACATGTTCACAGTTGTAATTGCAAATACTGAAAAACACATCGGACAATCGGTCAGACCTAAGGTTTTTGTTTGGCCACGATTTCGTTATTTTGTTGAAAAGTAGGATGAGGTATGAAATGCCTTCGACGAATCATGGAAAGGGCTAACTGCGGTATGAACCTCTAGAATGCAGAGATAACATTAGACATATAACAAACAATTTATCTAATCGTGCTTGTGATGACGATTAAGGCTACTATAGACATATCTAACTTTGTCACGGCGAATGACGATATAGTTGTATCATTATATGTATATTGTATTATATCAGTCACACAGAGCTTAATAATCCGCAACGATACCGACAAAGGGATATCTTATCGCCAGAAAATATAGCGTTGGAGCCTTATCATCAAACAAGCGGTCCATTGAACCAAATGTAAGGAAAGCCTAGCTGATATACATGATAGGATACCCAGGAAGAAACCCATTACCAATGAAGTTAATAGAAAAAAGGATACTTGAGAGTCGTCTCACGAAAACGAAGTATTTTGCTGACTTATATTGCGGTTTTAAATTCAGAGAAAAATTTCAAGTTAGATCGCATAAGATATTGGCGGATAGCTCATTTACTTCATTAAATTATCTTCAAAAAATTAAACAATTTAAAATATTTAATAGAAATCGCCCCGGGGCACTGACTTAGAGGGGCCCCCGTTGGGGGCGCTGGTCTATCTTTAGAGGCACTTGCCACTGGTAAAGAAAAGTTACAAAACGTATTAAAATAATTAATTTTATCCTACCAATATTGCAACTGTATTAGAAAAATGTTGAATGCAATAAAATTCAAATACTGCATAATATTAAACAGCTCAAGAAATAAATTTAATATTTTTAGGGGGAGGGAAGATGATGTCATTGCCCAGAGGCCTCTAAATGTCCAAGGCTGGCACTGAGGTTATATATTATATTCATATTATTTTATCATTATATTCATTTTTAAATATTAATATTTGATTAATTTTTTATATTAAATATTTTACATTGTTTTCATTTTTGGAAAAGTATTTAATGAGATTGATGAGTGACACTCCAATATCTCATACGATCTAACTTCAAATTTCTCTGTTCTAAAAAAGTTGTTCCCAACCTGTTATTAGAAAAAGAAAAATATTTGATAATAATTCTTAATTTTTATACTTTTCTTTCGAGTTATGTGATTTTATATATTTCACTCATATAGATACAAATTTGTGTCACATCTATTTAAAATTAGTATCGTGCAGCAACGATTTTATTTAAATTATTTTGGCATGATCAGTCTTTTGAGAAAAATAGTGAGGAGTATTTTATTTTCACACGTTTTCTTTCATGTGACCTTGCAGTTCAGTTAGGTTAATGAGAACTATTAGATGGGAAGGTTGAATATCATCCTTTGTTTTTTCCTGTTAAATATTAAGTTAGATTTTTAACAATTAGGTATTCTTCCAAACTAAGGAATTCTTTTCTTAATATAATTCAATCAATTCGATGTTTAAGAACCTACAGTTTATGTAATGGAAATTCTCAAAAGCCATACAATCACCTTTGAAATATTCCTATTATTCTCCATTTATTTTCTAAATACGCCAGCCCTTAATTCGCCTATGATAAGGCCAAAGGGGTTATCAGTTATAGTTAAACCAGATTAGGTCTAGTTTTTCCCTTGTTGATTGATACCACCCCTCTATGTGTATGGAATGTAAAATCAGATCTACAATAGATGCGGTTGGTACTCAATAATCTAAATTATAGTCATAATCACAATCCAAAACTAATAAAACTTTAATACACGTATTGAAATTCATTTTTCTTACACAAAATTAAAAATATATTTTCTAATAAAAATCTAACATCCTTATGGTTATATCTACAATTTCCATTCCTTAAGCACCAGAACCCATGTCCTTTCTGTTCATTATTATGTTGTAATAAAGAAAAGTCCAAAGTGTTGACTGTCATTTTGATTAATTTCAGACAGTTTTATTGTAAACTGTTTACAATTTTTTATCGACGTTAAAAAGTTGGAAGCGCTAAACCCTCAAAATTAAAATTTTGCAAAGGGGCTAAAAACATTGTAAACAGTTTCACTGGAATTTAAATTTATTCTGAGCTCATTTGCTGTAAAGCAGTGTTATAAACAGTCGAATAAAAAAAATAATATTAATTTCGATTTCTTAAAAGTTTCATCCGTTGACATTTTTACCGTCTATATGATACCAAACTAATATACTATCCGTTTTTGTACATATCGTTAATATTCATTTAAATATCCTGAAAACATTTTTTTTCCTCAAAAGTAGAGGAAGGCTGTTAAGAGATTCAACACTAAAATAAAAAATATAATATATATATATATATATATATATATATATATATATATATATATATATACAAACATACATATATTGTACATAGTGTGAATGACCTGCTCTTTTACCTCTATTACTATTGTCATTAGGTGTGACAGATTCTAATATATCTCAATAAAGAATTTTCGACAGTAAAAAAAATATATATTGGTTCTTGTTATGTAATATGTTTCTTTTGCCATACCTTATGGTTTTAAAATAAAATAAATCATTTGCTCTTTTTTTAGTCCAGTCTACCTCGGACCGGATGTAACACAACCTTGTTTCTAATAAACACACTGAGATGTTTCATTAATACATCTGTATTCAAAAGTAATTGTGAATCTTGCTAACAAATATTATGTAAAATTTATCGCC